TGTGAGTTCGAGGCCAACCTGGGCTACAAGAGCTAGTTCCAGGACAGGCTCCAAAGCTACAGAGAAACTCTGTCTCAGAAAAAAAAAAATCTAAACTCCTCCAAAATAGTCAGCCATTTTCTTCTGTCGACTTCCATGTGCTTTTTGGCCTACCAAGCTATGTCTTATGCTTAATATTAGTGTGGTTTACAGGGGACGAGGGGGAGACAGCCTCACTGTGTAGCCCAGGCTGGCCTGGAACTTGTTATTACCCTCTTGCCTTTGCCTCCTGGGTGCAGAGATTACAAGCATACACCACCATGCCTGGCTGCCCTCTGTTTTGTTTGTTTGTTTGTTTTCCATTAAACTCTTGTTATACCTTTTGAAGTTTGTATTGTGTGCATACCTTCAGAAGCTAAAATTATTGAACATGTGCTAGGCAAGCACTCTATACTACAGAGCTGCATTCCTAGCCCTTACCTTACTGTATTTGTTACTTTGATATAACAAATTACTCTAAGACTTAGCAGCTTAAAACAGTGACTAGTAGCCTTGAGTTTCCAGAGGTGTGGAAGCTAGTGGCCTACTGAGTGGTTCCAGCCCTGGATTACCTAAATAAGGTTACAGTCATCAGCTGGAGTTGCTGGTGATGTGTCGTAGTGGTAGGGTAGTCTGTGTGTCTAGCCTGTGAGAGGCCCTGGATTCAATCCTCAACACTGCAAAAATAAATAAACATAATTGCAGTCATTTCAAGACTCAGCTACTGCTGGGAATGGTGATACTTACTTGAAATTCCTGTACTCAGGAGGCTGAGGTGGGAGGATCTTGAGTTGCGAGCAAGCGTCAGCTACTAAGACCCTGTCTCAGGTCTGAGAAATCGGCTCAGGACTCGCACTCTAAACCAGCTGTGGGATAGTGTGTGCATGGGACCGTTCAGGAGGTCAGGATCGCCGAGGGCTGCTTTAGAGCCTTGTTCACAGCTACTGTGATCTCCTGGTTACTAAACGACACTTTCTGGTTTTCTCATTTAGTGTCCTAGAGTCTTTTAATGGTCATCTTATAAAATACTATGGGCTGCCTAGATTCATTTAAGCTTTGTAAAGTGTTCTAATAACTTAATATATTTTGTTTTTAAGACGAGATCTCACTGTGTAGCCTTGGCTGACCTAAAACTTGCTATGTAAACCAGGCTGGTCTGGAACTGAGAAGGCCTCCTGCCTCTCTGCCTCCCAAGCACTGAAATTAAAGACACTCAAAATCATAGTAGGCACAATAATTTAAAGTGTATTAAAATAGGGTCTGGCAGTTAAGTATTTGATATGTGAGTGTGAAGATTGGAGTTGAGGCCCCCAGTGTAAATGCTGGAAGGGCATGGTGGCGCTGTAACCCATCCTCAGAAGGGAAGATGGGATCTCGAGGACAAACTGGCTGGGGAGACCAAGAGGGTCTGAGAGCTCTGGGTTTGATTGCGTGACCCTACCACAGTAAGGTGGAAGAATTGTTGGTAATTCAAAGTAAAAAAGTTTAATCAGGTAAATTAAGTTAGAGCTTCAATTCATGTCCAGATATATTTCTGGAGGTCTCTGAAAGTCTTTTTAGAGGACCTGGGAGGCCAGGTTTTCATAACAACACCCAGACACTCTTTTGAATGTCTGAATGTAGTGGCATTTGTAGTGAGGGCCGCAGCATGACAAGCGAAGTGGCTGGTGCTTTGGTGACTTACACCAGTAACTATTTCTCTCTTGCCGGATTCTTGCAGTTTTAAAAAATGACCAGTTCCATTTTTAAGATTTTTTTTATTAATTAGTATGTGTGTGCATGTGCATGATTTGTAGGGTGATCTGAGGATAACCTGATGAAGAAATTCTCTCATTCCACTTTTACATGGGGTTAGGAATTGAACTAAGGTCTTCAGGCTTATACAGCAAACTTCTTTACCCACTGAACCAGCCACTTTGATTGCCAAGATCAATGAATTTTAATGTGACTAAAAAGAGTATGAGCCAGGCATGGTAGTGCGTGTATTTTATCCCAGCACTAAAGTGACGGAAGCCAGTTTATCTCTACATGGTGAGACCATGTCTGAGGAGAGGTAGATTTGCTTGTTTTGCTTGTTGGGCACAGTAGATAAGCGCACTGACTTACTTCTCTTCCAGTGTCTCCTCGTTCTATTCCTAGTATCCACATGGTACCTAACAGCATGCTGTAAGTCTTGTCCCAGGGGAATCTGATGCCCCCCCCTTCTGGCCTTCTCGGGCATTGCACACACCTGGTGCACAGACATCCATGCAGGCAAAACACCCATACACATAAAATAGTTTTTTTTTTTTTAAAGATTTATTTATTTATGTATACAGTATCCTGCCTGCAGGCCAGAAGAGGGTACCAGATCTCATTACTGATGGTTGTGAGCCACCATATGGTTGCTGGGAATTGAACTCAGGACCTCTGGAAAAGCAGTCAGAGCTCTTAACCGCTGAGCCATCTCTCCAACCCCCACAAAATATTTTTTTTTGAGGATTATTTTCTTTTTTTTCTCTTTGTCTTTGTTTGTTTGTTTTGTTTTGTTAGTTTCTCGAAACAAGGTTTCTCTGTGTAGCTTTGGAGCCTGTCCTGGAACTAACTCTTATACACCAGGCTGACCTCGAACTCACAGAGATATGCCTGCCTCTACCTCCCTAGTGCTGGGGTTAAAGGTGTGCGCCGCCACCGCTGCCCAGCTTTGAGGGTTATTTTCAAGACTAAGTTTCACTATGTAGCCCTAACTATCCTGGAACTTATTTTGTAGACCAGGCTGGCCTCAACTAAGAGGCCTGCTTCTGTTTCCCAAGTGCTGGGATTAAAGGTGTGTGCTACTGCCGCCCAGCAAAGTTAAAAAAAAAAATTTTAATGAGAGTTTGTTAATGTTGTAAGAGCAGGACTAATGAGGACCTGTAGAAAATCCAGACTGTTTAGGAGACTGGAACAAGCTCAAGGTCAGCTGGTAAATTTAAACATCTTATTTTTTAAAAAAGAGGGAGAGAGTGAAATGGTTTAGCAGGTAAGAGCACTTCCTGCCAAGTCTGAGACTCCCAGCCTCTCATGGTAGCAGGAGAGAAACAACTAGCACATGTTTTCCTCTGACCTTTGTGTGCACTGTGGACACACAAAATATGGAATGAAGGTATTTTAATAAAAATAAGGATCAGTGGGATAGCTTCGCAGTAGATCACTTTGGCCATTGCAAGTTCCCAGTACTACCACCCAAGAAAGAGTTTGAAGTCAAAGAAGAAAAGCAGTTTTTTGAGGAGCTTGGTAAACACCCCTTCACCCCGGGTGGAGGTGGTGCACACCTGTCCACTCGCGAAGCCAGGCAGCCTACAGAGTGAGTTCCACAACAGCCAGGGCTACACAACTGAAACCTTGTCTTGGAAAAAAACAAACAAACCCATTTTTTCCATTGGGTATGAAGCCACACAGACTTCTAATTCTAGCAGTCAGAAGGTGGAGGCAGGAGTTCAGGGCCAGGCTAGTCTACACAGTGAGTGTCAGACATAGACTCTGTCTGGTGGGGGGATGGGTAAAAAGAAGGTAGGAAAGAGAAAATCCTGTTATTTGTTTATATTGAGCCACATTGATCTCCCCTTCCCCCATTTTTTTTTTTGTTTTATTTCTTGTTTCTTTTTTATCATTTGTTTGTTTATTTTTGGTTTTTCAGCACAGGGTTTCTCTGTGTAGCCCTGGCTACTCAAGAACTTTGTAGACCAGGCTGGCCTCCAGCTCACAGAGCCACCTGCCTCTGCCTCCCAAGAACTGGAATTAAAGGTGTGTGCCACCATGCCTGGCAGTTTCTCTTTATGACTGAAAAGGGTTAGTTATTGGGCCAGCAAGATGGCTGAGCAAGCGAGGGTGCTTGCTGCCAAACCTGAGTTCATCCTCAGAGCCCAGTGTTCATCCTCAGAGTGGAAGACAATGTATTCCTGCAAGTTGTCCTTGAACTTCCACATGTGAGCTAAGGGATGCATGAACACCTGCACACTAAAATAAATATGATGTTAGAAGTTACTTATTGCTTTATAAGTTGATTTTTTGGTTGTAAATTTTATATTCAGGAATGCTAGTATGTTAGACACATTTATAGAACCTTAATTCTTTGTTTTGCTTGCTTTTTCTTTTGACATAGTGTCTATACCTTAACTGGAATTCTTGGTAATCCTCCTACCTCAGCCTCCTGAGTGCTAGAATTATAATTGTGAGCCACCATGTTCCACTAGAAATTTAATTTTTTTAAAGGCAGGCTACCTGTGTAGCTATCTCTGGCTTAAATTTTACTTTGTAGACAGTCGTTTTTGTTTTTCAATTGATTTATTTCTTTTTATTTTATGTTGGTATTTTGCCTGCCTGTGTGTTTATGTGAGGATTTCAGATCTTGGAGTTACAGACAATTGTTAGCTCTCATATAGGTGTTGAAAATTGAACCCAGGTCTCTGGGAGAGCGGTTAGTTTTCTTAACTGCTGACCCCTCTCTCTAGCTGTGAAATGTATTTCATTCTTATGTGTTTGAGTGTTTTGCTTACTTGTGTGTCTATGGACCATGTTCATGCCTGGTGCCCACCAGGGTCAGAAGAACATTGAATCCCCTGGACCTGGAGTTATAGGTGTGAGCTGCAATGTAGATGCTGGGAATTGAACCTGGGTCTTCCCCAATAACAAGTGTTCTTTACCACTGAGCCAGCTTCTAGCCCTGTAATTTGGTAAAAGTTTTAAACAATAAAACTATATTATCTTCTTTTTGTTTTGTTTTGAGATAAAACAAGGCTCTTTGTTGAGCTTGATTCGTAGCTAATAAGTAGCTGAAAGATGACCCTTAAACTACTGATCCTCCTGCCTCCACCTCCCAATTGGCTAATACATGTTTTTGTTGTTTTACTATGTGGGAACTGGAAAGATGACTCAGTGTATGAACACGTACAGCTCCTGCAGAGGATCTGGGTTTGGTTCCCTGCACCACTCAGTGCTACCTGTAGCTCCAGTCCTAAATGATCCAACACCATTTTCTGGTTTTCAGAGGCACCAGATGTACACATGGTGCACATGCATATATGTAGGAAAACACACGTGAAGAATAAAGATTAAAAACATCTTTAATTTAAAATAAAGTGTGTGTGTGTGTTAGGTACCCACAGAGACCAGACAGGGCCTTTGGCTTCCTTGAGCTTGCATCATAGGCAGTTGTGAGCTTCCTGGCGTGGGTGCTGGTACTGGAACTCTGGTCCTCTACAAAGTAACAAGCACTCTTAACCACTGAGCATCATCCAACTCCTAAACTTTCTTTAAGTAGGCAAAAAGGCTAGATGTAAAAATAGAAAATCGGCCAGAGTGCTGATTACACTGTAACCTCAAAACTGGGAAAACTGAGGCAGGAAGACGGAAGGTTGATCTGAGTTCATAGAGAGATTCTGTCTTAGGACAACAACAAAAATAAGCCAACCAAAAAGCAACCATGGTGGGTGAGATGGCTCAGTGGGTAAAGGCACTTGCTATGAAGCCTGACAGCCTGATTTTAGTCCCTGGGACCCACATGGTTGACAAAAACAAAAACCTCCTGTATGTTGTCCTCTGACCTCACGTGTGCAGGGGGTGTTCACCCCTTTAAAACAGTGTGGTTTGATTTTTGTTTTTCCTGAAGAAGGATCTCATTTAGCTGGCTGAAATGATAGGTTAGTTTTGAACTCACCATTTCATCTGCTTCTGCTTTTGGAATTCTGTGATAGAAGTATATATTATGTCCTGCTTTTAAAAAAATTTTTAAGTCAACCATAACATGATGTTCAACTTCATTTAGTCATTAAAGAAATGTGAACTAAAACCACTGTGAGTGGGGTCTGGTGTTACAGGTCTGTAATCTGAAATACTCAGTTCTGAAACAGGAGGATTGTAAATTCAGGACCTGCCTAGGCTGTAGAATGAGTTCAAGGGTAGTTAGCAACTTAGTGAAACCCTGCCTCAAAATTTAAAAAGATCTGGAGAAGTGACTCAGGTTAAGAGCATATACTGCTCTTGCAGAGGATCCCAATTGTACTCCCAGCTCTAGTGGGCGGGGGTGGGGGGACACATCTCTGTGGGTACCAGTGCTCACACAAATCCACCAATGTTCACATGCATATAACTAAAAATTACTTTTTTCAATTTACAAGGGAATGGGTGTAAGCCCTAAGTTCAGTGTCCAGTGCCTGTTCTGGGGAGCCAGTTAGAGACCAAGCTTATAAATAAACTCCAGAAATTCTGCTTTACTTTAGAACATGGATATGATACGTTTATACAGTTAAGTGCTACAGGATCACTTCAGCTTTTGGCTAAGATCAGGTCACTGTTCTCAACAGTTTAGTATCTGATACATTCTCCTTTATCCAAGAACATTATGTAAATGGATTTTTGGAGCTGGGAGATAGAGTAGGAACTTCCTCTATTCCCTCCATGCATCAGCCTGGTATTGTACCTCCAGGAACTGTGGACTCCTGTGAGGATATTAAAAGATGTTAGAGAGGATTCGGATGACCAAAAACTGACCCATCCAAACGTCTTGGATACATAAATGGATAACTGTGACATATCACAAATATACAGTAGTGCTCAGCGGCAAGATAACCGAACTTCTGTCAGCCCAGCAACTCAGGTGAACTTGAGGGCATTGTGCTGAGTAAACATCCTTCATACAGCTGGTGCTGGAGCTCAGTCTGGTGTGAGCGCCTGTAATCCCAGCTCTTGGGAGGCTGAGGCAGGAGAATTAATACCCTGTCTGAAAAGAGCAAATAGTGCCCATTACTCCTGTGATATTGCTAAGACAGAGTAGCAAAAAGAACAGTTTAAAAGTGAGGGGGGGTATGGGAGGATATTGTTTTTATATTTTGTGGTTGCAGAAGTCTGGGCGTGTTAACTTTTGTTGCCGTATGCCCCAAACAGTTTTGCTGTGTGCAAGTTAAATGCAGTTAAACCTAATAGAACTGATATGGCTTTATAAAAAGTAAAAGCTGTGTTGTTTTAAGAAAGTTAGTATAATAGTATTTATTCTGAAAATGATATGTAAGTAAACATGGTCATCTGAAAAGATGGTGCTGTGGAAACTCCTTCAGCCTTTAAGATACCGGCCCACTTTGGGCATGGTCTCATGCATTATAAATGCACACAAAAAGCATGTGCGGGCCTCTTGGCTGCTGGATTCAGTTCCAGTTCCCAGGACACGCAAAGGACTGTAGATCGCTACTCTTTCTGTGAGTTCATCCCAGATAAATAAACTTTAGTTATACTCTATTCCAGGCTATTGTGGAACTCCTTTATATGCCAAGAATTTATAGACATGCCTGCTTGTTCCAAAGCGTTTGACAGCATTTCATCTGCCCAGGGCTGCAGGGTTTGCTAGCATGTTAGAAGTCCCTTCAATTACCCCAGTCATCGTTGCCTTCCTTTCACTGTGTGTATATTCTCTCGGGGTTTCTTTACAGAAACCTATTCCTCTGTGCCTGATAAGAACATCTGGTCCTACCTGACTCTTGATTGTTTTTAAATCTGCCATTGTGGGTGAGCTGTTTGTCAGTCTCAGGAATTCCCTGTACACTTCAGCTAGAGTAACTAGCTGGCATTTATGGTATAAGAGGCTTAGTTCCCATTCCACAGAATTGGCCTCAGCCCTTTTCTACATAGAACTAGTCGAATGCTGTGGTCAACACAGCATTTGTCCATTTTCCTGTATTATATCCTCTCTCACCAAGATTGGAATAAGTTGTTCTGTGCACCTGAAATTCTGAGTCTCTGGAATGGAAGGACTCCTGACTTTCCTTAGGTAGTCCAGCTCAGATCGGTTAAGTGTCTGTAACCCAAGGGATCCAGTTTTGCTCTCTCGGGCATTAAAAGCAGGAAAACTACACTTGTGGTTGCTCTTAGTGCTTGAGCAATAATGTTGGCTTTTAGGTACAGGAATTTGATGCGATGTGAAGACTTTCATGGGTAGTTAGCTTTTCAGCAGAGTGTGTTTTGATATTTGATATTTTAATGACATCTGTCATTACAAAACTTTTAAGTTTTTCTCCCTTTTATAGGCTGTCATTATTTGTATCAAAAACAAAGAATTTGAAAAGGCTTCAAAAATTTTGAAAAAATACATGTCCAAGGACCCTACAACTCAGGTAAATTTGATATGTTTTTATTCCTGTGACTTAATCCATCTCACTGCCTTTTGTAGAGCAGTAGGAAAGGGTTCTTTGTACGACTCACTTATCCCAGGTGCGGTAGGACACACCATTAACTTTAGCACTTGGGGAGGCAGATGCAGGCCGATCTTTGCAAGGCCAGCTTGGTCCATATAGTGAGTTCCAGGCCAGCCAGAACTAGAGTAGACTTTGTACCCCCCCCCAAAAAAAAATCACCCAAGTGTTTGCCTTTAAATACCCAACACCTTGTCTGTGATCCCTACTTCTGAGGCCTTAAGCAAAAGGATTGCAAGTTTGGGGCCTGCCTTGGGCTATATAGAGCCTAAGACACAGTGAGACTGCCTGAGAGCCGCCCCACATCTTTTTATTTCTAAAGTAACAGACTCTGGCTTCAGTATCCGAGATGAGGTTTTCAAACCACTTGTTTTTCCTGTTCTGTCAGTTTTGTGATAGAACATTTAAGTAATCCGTACCAGATACTTAGCAAAAAGTATGGCACTTGTAGCTCTGTCTATATGAATGTTAGCCCTGTGGACTTGGGAGGCTACTTTGGAAAAGACTTAATAACTCCATTTTCTGTTAAAAGTGTAGAAGACAATTTGAGCTACAGCCTCAGTTGGGTTCTCTGTCCCCAACTTGTATTATTTTATAAACTTAGTTTTAGGCTGGGGATATTGCTTAATGGTAGGGCACTTGCCTAACATGCCGAGTTTGAGCCCTGGCACCAAACATGTGCACAACCCACTTTATCCTTTCTGTTGTTGTTTTGAAGCAGAGCCTCTCTGTAGCTGTGGCAGGTGTTGAACTAACTGTATAGACCTGGCTGGCCTCAAAATAACAGATCTTTGCCTGCCTCTGTCTTCCATGTGATAGGATTAAAGGCCTAGCACATACCACTATGTACCACCCTTTGAAGAACTAATGTGTAATAGTACAAAATTCAAAAAAATATTTTAAGGGCCTGTTAAATCAGTAAAAGTGCTTGGCAACCTAAGTTCCATCCCCAAGACCCAGCATCTGCAAGTTGTCCTATGACCGTCATCCTTGTGCTGTTACACAAAGACACGTGCACACAGGCAGTCACACACACACACAAGTGAAAATGAAGTGGGGATAATAAAAGTTAAGTGACAGTCCCCCTATCTTTGCCCTTTACCTACTCTCAGAGGCAGCCCTTTTATCCATTCAGAGATACTACTGTCTACGAGCAAGTCTTGTCTGCGTACACACAAGCACATTTTCTTCTTTCTGCATGTGACATAGGCAGGCTCTTCACGCTGACACACTGTTCTGAACACTTACCCTTTTTCTTCTCAATGTAGCAAGGGATTTTCTTTTGCTTTTTCTCCCCTTTTTCAAAGATTTGTTTTGTGTGTGTGTGTGTGTGTGTGTGCGCGCGCGCGCGTGCGCGCGCGTGCCCGCGTGTTCTATCTGTGTATCTGCGTGGATAACTTGACATCAGAAGAAGGCATCAGAGCCGACCATGTAGGTGCTGGGAATTGAACTCAGGACCTGGAAGAACAGCCAGTGCTCTTAACCACTGAGCCATCTCTCCAGCCCAGGATTTTTAGTAACATGTACTGGAGCTTCTCTGTCCCCTTTTGTGACTAACTGCCCACTCACTGTGGCTGAACCATAGTTTCATCAGCCGGTCCTTTGAGTTATCTGACAGTATTGCAGATGTGTCTGTGGTGTTCTGTCTCAGCTTAGCTCTGATGTCTTGTTTTCTTTCTTTCTCCTTGTTGCAAATGTCAATCCTTCGTGTAGAAGCTAAGAACTGATCTCCTGAACATTATCCGAGAAAAGAACTTGGCCCATCCTGTTATCCAGAACTTTTCCTATGAGACCTTCCAGCAGAAGATGTTGCGTTTCCTGGAGAGCCACCTGGATGACACAGAGCCCTACCTCCTCACGGTGTGCCTTGGTCTCTCTTCTCTTCTCATAGCCATGTTTTGGCGTGAAAAGAATGGTGTGACTGGGTTATGTGCACTCCCTTTCTTAAATGCCTGTGAAATCCCTAAGATGAGCTCCTGTCTGTGGCAGACAGAACATACCTGGTTTCTCTCTCCTTGCATCTTAGACTTTTACATGTGACTAATCTTGTAGCTGAAGTAGAGTGTTCTCTTATAGTCCTGGTTTCCACAGGCAGTGGTATCTAAGCTGAAACGTAGAGATGGAGTGGTGGGAGTTGGTAGCTGGGGTGTGAGGTCAGGGGAGGAGAGATTAGAAGTCCAAAGGAGCCATAGAGACCAGAAGGTGTCAGATCCCCTGGGATTGCTGGAGTTACTGATTGTTATTGAGCCACCATGTGGGTGCTGAGAATCAAATTTGGGTCCTCTACAAGAGTATCCAGTGCTCTTAACTGCTGAGCTGTTCTCTAGCCTATCCTCACCCCTTTTGAGATTAGGGTCTCACTGTGCTAGCCTGGAAAAGTGTAGACCAGGCTGGCATCACACTATCAACCTATCTCTGCCTCATAGTGGTAGGATTAAAGGTATAGGCCACAGTGTTCCATTGGCCTTATGAGATAATCATTTAGTTGGACTTGAGATTGCATGGTGAGGCCCATCACCACTCTGTACAGTAAGGCAGAAGGAGTGTGAGTTTTGAGTCTTGCCTAGAGTACACAGCCAGTCCCTATCCAAAGAACCTAATGGCTGGAGATGTAGCTTAATATTAAAACACTTGATCTAGTATGTTTGGTTCCCACCCCAGCACCACCAAAAAAAGAGAGAATAAAGTCAGGGAACCAGGTTTGGGTGGTTTTTTGTGTGTGTGGTTTTTTTTGTTTTTGTTTTTAAGACTTATGTATATATGTATTTATTATGTATACAGTGTTCTGTCTGCATGTATGCCTGCAGGCCAGAAGAAAGCACCAAATCTCATTACAGATGGTTATGAGCCACAATGTGTGGTTGCTGGGAATTAAACTCAAGAACTTTGGAAGAGCAGTCAGTCAGTGTTCTTAACCACTGAGTCATCTCTCCAGTCCCCAGGATTTTGATAATGTTAAAAATAGCCTGTCATTGGCTGGGGGTGGTGGTGCTCACTTGGGAGACTGAGGCAGTCAGATCTCTATGAATTTGAGGCCAGCTCTGGTCTACAGAGTTCAGTTCCAGGACTGGCCCCAAAGCTACAGAGAAACCCTGTCTCGAAAACAACAACAACAAAAAAAAAAAAACAAACAAACACAAAAATAGTCTGTCATAATGCAGGTTCTGAAGCCTCTATTAGGGTAGTGCAGTGATGGATCCTATACACCATTTGACAGGTCTCAGGTCACTTGTAAAGGTGGTATTTGGAGTAGCTAGCCAGGAAGCATCTTGATGCTGGAACTTTGGTCTAGGTATGTTTCATTCCTTTGCATTTTGGGTAACTGAAAAATATTTTGCTGCTCCTTACATGAGGATAGAACTCCGCTCTTAAGGCACCAAGTCAGAGATGTACCTGAAATGAATGGAACAATCTACACTTAAGAGTAGGGGGCAGATGAGTAGCGTTAGGGCAAGAGTGACCTGCTAGGGTTTCCTATGTAATATTAGTAAGGATTTTCAAGTAGTTGTCAGTAAGACAAAACATTGTGGGGATATAGTTACATTACATACACAAACTAAAAATTATTCCTATCTGTCAGGTATCCTAAGGTTTGAAAAAACCATTTGAACCAGGCTTGATGGCACACTTGGAAAACAAAGAGAAAAATCACAGCAAGTCCAAGGCAAACCTGGTCCGTCTGTCAAGTTTAGGCATCCAGAACTGTATGCTGAGACCCTGCCTTAAAAGGAGGGGCCTGGAAAAATGGCTCAGTGGTTAAGAGCACGTGACTGCTCTTGCAGAGGACCCAAGTTAGGTCCCAAGCACCTACAAGGTGGCTCACAACCACCTACAACTCCAGTTCCAGGCAGTGTGATGGTGACCTCTTCTGACCTCCGTGGGTATGTGGTACATGTGAAAATAAAAAAAAAATTTAAGCAGTAGGAAAAGAAATTTAGATTTTATACCTGGCTCCTGAAGAGACTTGGAAACCAGGAACTAGATAGGGCTGAGGTTGGAAGGTTCAGTCAACGCGAGAGAGTAAGAGAACTCTCCTTCGTGTGGCTTGCCGTCTGTGGTAGGTCTGTTGTTTTATGGTAAGGAAGATACTGTGCCACCTGCGTCCTCTAACCAGTGCCTGGGCTGGATTTGTAAATGCGTTGCTTTGTGTTGTGTATGTTCTTGGTGAAAGATGTAGACACTAAATGAACTTCTATGGCTTCCTCTTCTTAATGACACCCTTCCTTTCCCAGATGGCCAAAAAGGCTTTGAAATCCGAATCTGCTGCTTCAAGTGCTGCGAAGGAAGAAAAGCAGCCAGTCCCAGAGCCAGTGGACAAGCCACTAAGAGAGCCTTCAAGGTGAGGGTGTCCTTTTGTGATTGTGGGGAAAACATTTAGCAAGGTCAGTTTCTCTTCACAGACTTGATAACATCACCAGGTTATTGGCATACCATTGTGAGTGATAGAGTACGTGGCCTGGGAAAATGAGAGAAGATCCTGATTGACACTTCCCCAAAGGTTCTGTTTTCATTTCTCTCTCACCTATAACTTGTCTCTCTCTCTCTCTCTCTCTCTCTCTCTCTCTCTCTCTCTCTCT